TCACCAACGTACCGTTAACAGAGACTATCGATTTAGTGTGCCAACAACTGCAGGAAAAACAAATCAATATTGGAATTCCTGAAGTTTGTCTTAAAGAATTTCTTTTGAAATGCATAATGAATGTCCATTTTGTCTTTAATAACACATATTATAGACAAATTGATGGTATAGCGATGGTTTCGCCACTAGGTCCCTTGCTTGTGGATTTTTTTCTGGCGAAACTAGAAAACGGATCTCTCAAAGAGGTTATCAATAAACTGGATTTCTACTGTCGTTACGTTGATGACACTTTCATCATTGCCGACCAGAACATTAGTGTTAGCGGGACATAGACCAGATTAAAGCATGCTCAATCCATGATTGCTTTGCTGCACGCTGATTGGCTGATTCTTATCCAATCAGCAACAGTCGATAGTTGGAGAGCACTCTGGAATCTTCTTATGTAAAAACTATAAATATACTGACGTTTTCCCTATTGTGCTTCTGACTTGCTATTTGGAATATAATCTTATTCCTGTTCAACCGTGTTTTGATTTGGGGACTTGTCGAGTGAAGCGGTGTCCGAGAATACTAAGCAATAGGAATAGCTGGGTCATTAACCGTAAGAAGACAAGAGTTATAACAGTGGCGACGGGGAAAATATTCAAGATAAATAGCATTACTAAGCGATTTATCAGTTAGCAAATGATCAATCGATGGTGTAAGTAAATGTTACACAACAACCAGTAATTGATCACTTTTTTTCGTCACAATGAAGACAGATTTAAGTATCTCTTGGTTCATCTGATAATGACTGGCAATGAAATTCATAAACCATCTTCTGATCTTGTTTTACTAAAAAATTCGCTAAATTTGACAGTAAAATGATGGGTCAGTTACTTTACGATAGTGAACCTTCGTTATGCAAAGAATACAAAGAGGCTAGAACCAAAATAGTTCAGCGAAATGTTGGGATGTTACAATTTAATCTTGATATTTATTCTTGAAAATCTTCCCGTGTACAAAATCCAAGAGCGTAGTAATGTTAATCAACAATTGTAATGTGTGATTATTTTATTTTTAATTTCACGTAACAGTAATTAAGCTTACTCCGTATTCAGGGTGTGAAGAGCATTTTTTAAGCCAGTATTCATTTTCCAAATTGTGGACTGAAATAACAAAACGAATAGAAATAACTCAGTCTTTAAAACAAAATCACTTTGAGAATCATGATTATGTTATTATATAAGTGCAGTTGAAAAAATTAAACCATTTCCTTGTTCCCATAAATAAACGATTCCCTCATGCATAGATTCATCCAGACTAAATATGCATTTAGTGTAGAAAACAGGAACTCAAAATGCTGGGAAGTAACTATTTGCGAACATCACTGACAGCATCGATTACTATAGAAGTGATAGTTGGGTTTAGGTAAAAAAAATACGAGAGATATCTGTAAAGTTCTTGTAACCCATAAGTGGTAATAGCGATGTGTAATCATCTTACGACATTAAGATCAATTAGAAAAAGAAGATTCGGTAAGACTATAATTCATGGACGACCTTTGAGCGAAGTTGAAGTGACCTTGAGAAAAGACACCTACTGATCAGGACTAAATGAGGGTCATAAACCAACTAGAATTGTGTTTTACGATTGATGGTTACAGTTAAAAATTAGATTTAGGGTTTTCATCACGAACTGGCATCACATATAATGCCAAAACTCTATTTAGCCAAATGTACGAATGAATGTCGTGCCAACATACAAAACTATCTTACATCTGACTGGTTCATCCGTAAGTAATAGCCCCACCGAAGATTACTAATTGAGGATAACGTCCTTGATGGTAGAAACAAAAATGAAATAACAATCCTACGAGAACTGAAGACTCATTTTAGCATGAATACAAATGTACTAACGAGTTAAATTTAATAGACTATTATACGGTAGAAATAAGTATGTAGCAAACAAGTCAAAATGACCAGAGCATTTTCATTCACAAAGCTGTAGCACAACATCCGTTGTAGATCAGTATCTCATACAGTTGCATAAAAGGACTGCTAGTACAGACATTAGATAGTCGAATATGAAGTCCACTTCACTCAGACACTAACCAAACCTTGAGAGTTAATATAGATCTTGCATGCAGAGCCAAGCATTTTACATATGAGTATAAAAACAGAACTGAAGCAGTAAAAAAAATATGTACTTAGAGCCCAATGATTAGACACAGAATCTAAATATCCACAGGCATGTTTCAGGAGCACATTGCGAACGTTTATGATATAGGAGATTCTCTTAAGTTAAATATCCTCAGTACGATTGAAAGTCGTCTTTGGGACGGTAAATGAAATATAGACAAGATCATAAACCTGTGTTTCAACACGTATATATTCCACTGGATAAGGTAACTATTGGTGTATGTAGAAGATCCTGTCATCCAAGATTTCAAAACGGCGATAAATTATTACAGAACGGTAGAGTCAAATTAACGAAAAGCTGCACGACTAAAATATACGTCTACACAACAAATGATCTTTATACCACTAAGAATTGTTGGAATATTCCAACAATACATATTAAATTTCAAATAAAATCAAAGCGAATGCGACATTTATAAACTCACACGTCATAGGATTCACGAAAACCGACTTGGGGAAACTTTGAAGTCTCGGTGTCTTATCCATTTCGCCATCCATTTGCTTTCTAACGATTTTTAACTACATATTCGAACAACCTCGGGTGCAGAGCAACTCAAACTCCCTCCAATAATCAGTGTCCGAAAAACAATACCTTTGTGTCAAGCATATTCCGACTGACTTTTTTGTTTTGATACTGTCAAAGATATTTGCTACTGTTCAACTGGCAATATTCCAGTCACTCGACTGAACGAAGTGTAGTCGATTTGGAAGTTATTTGTGGATTTATGTGCCTGTACAGTTTGTTTTTCCCCATAAAACAGAGTTTTTTGGCTAAGTAGCTATCGCATAACCATACAGAAGGTTTTTGATTGCAATGCAAGAGATCATAAAGATAAAATATTGGGTTCAGAAGATCTAAGAAGAGAAAAATGCCTGAAGCTGTGATAAACATCGGTAAACTGTTGTGGCGAACAAACCGCTTGAATGAACAGGTCCATAAGTCTTCGGCATTGATTTAGACGTATTACTTATGCTGGTCACAGACCTAGTTGAGTGCCCTCGGTCAAGCGTCTTCATCACTTCAATTTCTACTTGGCTATGCAGCTTATTTCTTAGGACGACTAGTCAATTTGCATTCCAAATAGATCGGCACATCAACCGTTTTATCAAATATTTCTCTTATCCTATCTTCCTTGGATTCGAATTTCGCAAGCCTCGTACCATGATAGGTTTTAGATAGTGTAGATGTCAGAAACGTCATTTTCAGTGGTGAGCCTTAACGATACCTATGAATCTTCTCCTAATCCTAACATTATATATATTTGTTTATGTATTGTGATATTCTCTGTCCTGGAATGTCACGGTTGGTTTATGCATTTTATTCTTACTATGCAACTGATGCCAGGTAATATTGAGATCTGATCCGCTTATTCAGAAGCTAACCTTTCATGGGCACGGGATGCTGGCTCCACGAGCTCAGTTACTCGCAGTAGAACAATCTGGCTCAGTAAACGAAGTCCGACAAAAGTAGTTTAAAGAAACTTAACATTCCTTCACATTCTTATCCAGATGGTTGACATATAGGGAATCATGATATAACACTTTCAGTAGGGAACTCCTAGCCATGTATTGTACTGTATGTCACTTTTAAAAACCAATTGATGTTCGGGCATTCGATCTTTACATCGATAATAAACTTCTTGTATTTTCTAGTAACCCATCCCCGTACAGTTACTTCTCTTCAGAGTCCGGAAAACTGAACTTCGTCCTTCAATTTACTTATGATACACACATATTCTTGTGGTAAACAATGTGGTTACAAGATAATCCTCTCTTATATATTCATTGAAAAGTTTCTGAACAATCGATCTTAAACGCTTCTATATTTCAAAGCGAGTTATCGTCTACAACTCTAAAATTATGGATCAAACAGGGAGGAATAGGTAAGTAGACTTTACTATTTGACTCACTTACTGGTAAGTATGATCCTATCGTACCGAAACATTATCATTCCGAATTTTTGAGTAATTAGCACAACGTTTCTTATCCGGGTATTCGAGCGGTTACCAAGCTCATTGCAAGAAGCTCTTGCTAGACTGGTATTGTTAAAGACGTGAGGAAGCGTGAACGCTATTATGTTGGCTGTCAGAAATCCGTAATTTCCTCCCCTTTTACTAAACATTCAGTTAAGCTTTCTTTCACCCAATCGCAAACAACTGGCGTTGTCGCTAAATTTGCGTTGCGATTTAATATGTACGTTTCGCAAATTGTTACACCGATCCCTCGAAGCTGCGATTGAGGACAGTACTAAGGTTTATGTCGTAAACCTACATAATGCACCAAAAAAGACAACGTCTAACATCGACTGGCTAAAGATCGCTTAGTTCGAAGTAAATCCATTTGTCGAGTTTAACGCTACATAATCGAAGGACACAGTCAACGCGACTATGATGGTTTCTACAATACTTAACGACCGCAATGAAACTTCGTCAGTATCCGACAATTGGCCAAAAGGTTCTGCAAGAACCATAAAGTCCCATAGATCATAGATGAGTACTTATTAAATTTACTGAGCTTCCTTCTGTTAACCTCACTTTTCCAGTTCTGCAGTTAAATGATTATACTGCCAAACATTCTATCCTGGGATAGCGGTATATACTACTTATGTCGATATAAGTAGCGCATATCACAAAACGTGTGCATGATCACGTCCTCGGATCGTCGCCAACCCACAAGAGTTGAAGTGAGATGTAGCGGTGAATTCCCGAAATAAATAGCCATACAAACCTTTGACATTGATGTTGATCTCATTAGTTTTACTGTAAGCCTTCTAGCTGAAGCCGCTCAGATAACAGTTCGCACCAGATAACCATTGGACACGCAGCGCTTCACAACCAGTCACCTTAGATTACATACTTACATACACACTACCTTTCAAATATATACATATATATTCGAACTCCTTCATTCCTGACTTCGGGTTTGACTGGGCGTTACAGAAAGCAGCTTTGTCAAGAATCGTTTGTATGTTTCATCGTTGGTGTTATTCAGTACTGAGTATCAGCAGCATCCTTAGTTGCTTAGAATACTTAGAAATAATTCCTCCACTGATATATTTCATCTTCTTTATTACTAGATTAGGAAAATACGGGGGGATGTCAGGCAAGTTCAGAGGCTGTGAATGAACAGAATACCTATGACATCACATACAGTCATCAACTCTTAGAAGCTTCCAACTGAAGAAGTGGTGTACCCACATTCTGATAACTCATTTTAGAGAAGACTAGACAATCAGAGTAGCATACTAGCAAAAATCCAGAACAGGCTGTCAGCGTCTTTTCTTCGATGTTAGAATCTGAATCAAGAGACAAACTGTATATTGGATGTAGAAACTAGATAGCCTTGGGTAGCAGTAAAACAAGTCGACTTTATAAGCCATGTCATTGGATTGCTATCATATCTGTCGGTCATGGCACCGATACTGGGTTATTGGAAAGTCAGAGGCGTAAGTGTATCATTTTAAAAAGGAAGATTCTACACTTATTTTACATTGCTGGAGTTTTCGTAAGGTTCTGCCCAAGCAACCAATAAAACGGAAATAATGGTAAACAAAGCGGAAACGTCAAAATGTCTGATTTTTCACTTGACAGGAGAAAATAATGTGGATTTCCCCCTTTTTATCACTCTATGTTTTAAATGTCGCTAAATTGTCTACTTTTCGCCTAAATACACACCGATTTATCTAAAATTGCTTCAGTTTTTAAGACATTTCTGGTCTAATCTTATGTCTCTTACGTTCTCTTTTACTGCCATAACACACCACATGACAACTGCAATCGACGTTAAAAATAATACGTGTTTATAGAAATTTATTGAAAAGAAAAAACTTCATATTGTACAGCATTATTAGTAGTTGACAGATGTTAAAGCATCGGTTTTTATTTCAATTATAATTTCCAAGTCTTATCGTAAGTTGAAAAGATCTGCAAAGAAAGAACAGGTTGTGTTATTGATTAGGCACGTGTACATAATTACAAATGCAGTTAAAATAAAACAGGATTGTCAACACTCACTCAGCGAGTTTCCCATGCAAGTTAGAAAATAAGCGCATGTTTAAAAAATGCTTTCGAAAACGAAGTTGAACATGAAATGTTTATTCCACTGGTAATGACTGTGCTGTTACAGGTGATGGGATCTCATTACAACTAATTTCAATGTTGACTGCTATTAATGCGACGTGATTCACTGCCAAAGTCAGTTACCTTTGGTCATCCTTTCACTACCAGACTGACTAAATGAAAGCGAGTTATGTTTTCTTCATAAAAGCCGTTCTTATTTTATTCCACTGTCTAAGTCTATCTATGACAACAGTACGTTATTTTGTAGAGGTTTTTGAAAATGTAAGTATAGGGAACGGCACTATTCAAACATGGCACGTTACGTATATTTGTCTACAAATTTTCTCCAAACATACGATTTATGGGGGGGGGATCGATATTTCCGCCAAATAACCGACGCGAAGAAGAAAAATCGGCCTTTCCGCTTAATTTACGCTTTCGTCCGCGTGTCTTCGATTGCATTTGTCAATCACTTTGTTAATGTATTATGATATTGAAGTGTGAAATGCTTGATGCATTTCCCTGATAATTTTTGATTACCTGGGTTCACTCATGTGGTAGCACTCTTTAGAGTTTGGACAAAGTTTTCTGATAAAACTTTGGACTGAGAATGTGGTGCTTTTGTGCTGGACCAGAAATATATAACTCAAAAGTAATAACAAAGTTATTACGTCCAAAATTCAAGGGGTTAATATATTAAATATAGTTTAAACGCAAGAAAAATCTACTGGACGTTACTTAAATTGTCAGGACCTGGAGTGTTCTAGTTGCATTTGGTATAATAATTCACAATTATGGGTAATTAATAATTCCAATAAAGACCGTTATAATTAGAGCTGTTTAAGTAGACAAGGTATATAATGGGAATGCAGCTGTGGTCTGTAAATGTAGATAATAAGTGCATCAAGGTTCAGTTATCACAACATCAGAAAACTGAGAACGAGCGACATATATGTAGCAGTGTATCTGGGAGCGGTTACCAGTGTATCGTGCTATGGGGGATTCAAAACATAAAAGGGAGTATAAGGTCATGCCATTTTAAACAACTATTTTACAATCACTCATAGTAAATGTAAAAACTATGAGAAATAATGAGAGATATGCAAGTAGTATCAAAAACTAATTACAAACTTTCGTTGTCACAATCTCCATATTGTAAATTGATAACGCCACTAGATGTCAGTAAGCCATCTGGGTTTCGTTATTATTTACTTATATATTGGGTATCCCTTAACGACTTTATGCCCTCTTTATTACTCTTTGAGTAAAGCTTTTGCAAGGAATGTTCATGAGTAACACTCCTGTAATATGAACTTATAATAACCAGAGGATACTGAGTTCAAAATTTGTCAAGGAAATCCACATGAATACGTTGCCATGATTCCAAGTAGGTTTATTTTTATAATAGCTTATGTAAACATTCAGGACAGTTTTCTCTGCTCTTAAATGGGTGGAGTTAAGGTCGTCTTGTACTGCAAATGTTGGTGTTGGTTGGGGGACAAAAAATCTTCAGGATGTAGTGATGTCTTCTCTCCTTTTATAAAACTTAGGAAGGTTACTCTTGCAATAGACATTTCAACCTCTTCACTGCATTTATGGCAGTTTAAAAATATGACTATCTATTACATGTTCTCCTCTATCAACTGGTAATGGTAGTATCAACATACAATCACTTTAAGTTGAGTGGTGGAAAATCTGCATGTAGTATGCTTTTAGACATACTGTTCTCCATGGTGAAATCATAAGCACTCATCTATATATTCCATTTCCAGATCATGGCAGCAGTTGATCGATGAACCTAGTCGAGTATTAGTTATTTATCACACACTATTATCTATATAAAAACTGATCAGCGAAAAAAAACTTGCACATTATTTTTCTTCACCCCAACTCATTTCACTTAGTATACCAACAATTATTGTGAGTGAAATTATTGACATGTAGTATAAACTGTGAGAGATAGTAAAAGGATTAGTTGCTAACTAGTATTATACTCCAGAAATAGGTTTCTTAGCTTTAGAAGCTGAGAACGAGATTCAAAGTAGTGTATAAACTAAAATAACAAATGAATATTCATAAGTACTATGTTCATGCCGTTTTGCGATGTTTACAATAATTTCGAATTACAATCATTTGGAAGACTTTCCGAATACATTACGCTGTCTGTACCAACAACTGACACCGTATATTAGTAATCTGAATTCAAATAAAAAAGACAAGACTTTCGGAATTTGTATAAGAATGACGTATCGGTAAAATCCCCCAAAAAATCAAATTAACTTTGTATCCATTCGGTTATGTACCGAATAAATTCACTGAATAGCAAGTACAGAAGTTATTGAATTGAATAATTGTTACTTGTACACAAAATCACCTAAAATAATTCGATCGAATATGATACTGAACAAAGTGACAGAAAATCACGATGTATTAATTAGAACAAATTAATTTTGTGCTGAAAAATACCAAACTGAAATAATCAAAGTCGAATGGACAGGAATCAAATTGAAATACTACAAAAATCAACTGAATGAAAAATACTCAAAATCGACATTTAACCATTTACTAATTTTCTCCCTATTAAATAAGATTTAGGAATCTAAAATCATCAACAATGCTCAATTAATGTTTCCAGTGTTCAGCCCAGATTCTCACCATTGGTTCATAAGTAAGAATGTGGGGCTAATAAGTGTTTTCTTATATGGTGATTAAAACTCTGTTAATGTAGAGAAATATGGAGAAGCTATAACCGATTCTCGATTTATTTTACTGACTTAACAAAGCAGTTCTAGTCTGAATTGTCAAAAGTGAGTGATTTAAGATGTAACGGATATTCAGGGCTTGACAGCGTTGTTTTTTGTAACGCCCAGTCAAACCCAGAGTCAGGAATGAAGGGGTTCGAATATATATATATATATATATATATATATATATATATATATATATATATATATATATATATATATGGCAAATCGTATGTATGTAAGTATGTAATCTAAGGTGACTGGTTGTGAAGCGCTGCGTGTCCAATGGTTATCTGGTGCGAACTGTTATCTGAGCGGCTTCAGCTAGAAGGCTTACAGTAAAACTAATGAGATCAACATCAATGTCTAAGACTTGTATGCCTATTTATTTTGGAGATTTATTTACTACTATATGTTTAATGGAAGCTTAGTTTTCTTTAAAGGTGTTGATAGTTGAAAGCATTTTTTCTGTTGTCCAACTATCTGTTCCCAATTATAGCGATGCAGATGATAAAAACTCACTTTTTTCAGTAAAAGTGATCTAGTAATAACAGACTATTATATAAAAACAAATAAATTTGACGTGCTTTTCACGTTTAGGACCAAGCCTTCGCTTATCACGACGCTAAAACTGATTGCTGATGATATGCTTATTATAATCGCTGAAAAATTAATACACTTTGTTACTTACGTATTTGGCTTTTATTTCTTAAAAGGGTAATCATTTTGTTGTGAATTTTTTCTGTTTTCGTTTAAAATTTGCAAAAACAGTTCGTTTTTGTGATAAACAGCAATAAATTTTTTCATATTTTAAGTCAAAATTCTATAATAAAGTACTAAAGGTAAGATTCAACTCTATTATATTCGTTACTAAAAAGTATCTACTTGCTTTAAATTCACACCCTGATGCGATAATATCGTTCTCTAGAACGTTTTACAAAGATACTTGTTTCGTGTAGAAAAATGAAACGCTTTGGTTTTCAGTATACCATTCAATATTCTAAATTTTCACTCTCATGCCTTGTTTTGGTATGCTGATTATGAAATGAACTCAGGATGAATAGCTGTACTGATTTTTTTTGAATGATACCAAACATTTATGTATTCCCCTAGTTAGGTTATGCATGTGACTTTATTTAGCGATCACCAGCTTACGCGAATAATTTTTGCCACTTTCATGTTATCAATTAATTAGTCTATGCATCTGACAAATGTAATAATTATGCGCTGTATTTGTGTACATAATTTAAAAGCTTCCTTAATGTTTAGCTCGCACAACCAATTAGACTTCTTTTGGAATATCTTGAAGAAACATATGAAGAACATGTATATGATCGCAATGAAGTTGATGCCTGGCGCAACGATAAATTTAAATTAGGCCTGGAGTTCCCCAATGTAGAATACCCATTTTACGTTAATAATTTAATTATCTAGCTTCCTTATTATATTGATGGTGATTTCAAATTAACACAATCTATGGCTATCATACGTTATATAGCTGACAAACACAACATGTGTAAGCTAAAATAGTAATCTATGTTCCTAGTGGGGGCTTGTCCAGAAGAACGTGCAGAAATTTCGATGCTTGAAGGAGCGATTTTAGATATTAAGACGAGTATTTGGACAATTGCATGCAATAAGGAATATGTGAGCTGGAATTAAAATTTACTTATTTCAAGCAAACCCTCAAAGTTGATTTTCTCAACGAACTTCGTGGGAAGCTGAAAATGTTCGAAGATCATCTGTCTAACAAAACGTATTTGAACGGTAACTGCGTAAGTTATGAAATTTTAATGATTTGACCTTCAATTCATTGTTCTAGTTGTATCTCTCTGGTCTAAAAAGCGAACTCCGATAATCTTATGTCTATGAGTGATCATGTTTCAGCGTAACAGGATACGTGGATATATATTTCACAAATCGCAGCCGTAATTTTCCACCATGAATTAAGGATTTAGCAAAATATATATTGGTTCAAGTTGTGATCGTTCATTCCAGTATATGAAGCGAAATGACAAAATAAAAACATACTATATTAAGTTAAAATAACTAGAGAAATGCTTAAAATGAAAACAAAGGAAAAGAATATATGTTTTTATGTCAGCGGACCAATTTCAAGTTAAATCATAGAAATTCTTCAACCTTCAAGTCATTCTAACGTGAGAGCTTTGTAGATGTTAACAGCGGAAATGTTTAGTAATACTTAACTGGTAATTCACTCAGATAAATTGCTCACATCATTGAGGTAGACTAATTTTTAGATTGAAAGTCTATGTTTATATTAAAATAATGCAATATTTAGCTTACGCTGACTATTACAGTAGTTCTATTTTCAAATGAGATAAAGAAAACGAGTATAGTCACTTACTTTTTGAGTTCTTATAATCCATTTATCTTTACAGGTAACTCATCCTGACTTTATGTTATACGACACTCTTGATGTGGTTTTATACATGGACTCACAGTGCTTGAACGAGTTACCAAAATTAGTTTGTTTCAAACAATGTATTGAAGTAAGTTCGTGATAAAGTGCTTTTACTTCTCATCTGATTCGGCGGACTCTCACCTACTCTTTTCTTTTTTTAATCAGGATTTACCGCAAATTAAGAACTACTTAAATTCTAGCAGGTACATAAAATGGCCTCTGCTAGGTTGGAGTGCTACGTTTGGACATGGAGATACTCCTTCAAATTAAATTAACAGTAAATCTTCTGGTAAATAAAATTTAAAGCCTGTTATATTTGTACTAAATAAAAAATAACAATAAAATTCTGAACTGCTCTTTTTTGTGTGGAAATATTACAGTGTGCGTAAATGCTATAATACCCAAAAAATAACACTGTCATTTCATCAGATGTATGCACACTGAGTATTTATTGATACAAGTCAAAACGGATTAATATTGAAGTTAATAGCGTTGTACTTTGTCAAATTTATTATAAACGTTTGTCTAATCACTACCCTCCATGACACAATAGGTAGCTGGTGCTAGAGTAAGGTGGAAGAAAGCCAGGGACGGACATACCAAGACATAATTTCAACTCATGAAATCATCATCTGTCAAGCTAAGTCGTGTTATTAAGTGCAAACTACTTGATTGATATATGTGTGGTGATCGTGATTTGAAGTGACATAGATCAAAATCAGTCGTAGTGGTATAGATGTGCTCATTTCCCAACCTACCACAAGTCTTGAATGTCATTATGATCCCATATTTCTTATTGTGTAATTTTATGCTGTTCCTGCAAATCAGATACTTTATATTTAGTATGCTTTTTATCATTGTTAATATTCTGATTTGTTGTTCATCTTGTCAGTTTCATCTTCCTAAATTCATGTAATATGGCAGCTTGGGCCGATGCACAGGTTCTACGTTGATGATGATTGACTGGTTTTTATTTCCATTAAGTTATAGTGTTCGTACTTGAGGTACAGCATAAACTAATAAGGCTTAGTAATTGACACTTCATACTCAAGAGAAGTTTACTGGTGATATATATATTTACTTGGGTAACCTACTTGTTACTAAAATAATTCCTGTGAACCACGTGTGTTCTCCAGAACATATCGCTTGATAGTTAATTTTTGGAACTGATTATGTAAGAAGAACAGTCAAAATTATCTCTAATAAAAATTTCCTTTCATTCTGGATAATACAGGATTTCATTGCTAGTGCAAATGGTTCAGGAAAAATTGTAGAGAAGCCGCTTAAATAAAAAGGCTCCTGACTTGATCAGAGTTGCGGGCTCGAAGGCCTTTCTACATCTGAGAGTTGGGTATCCAGACAGTTTTATTAGTCCTCGCAGTTGTGACTGAACCCGGTAAACGAATATTCATATGGTTGTCAACTTCTCTAATATAATCTGAACACTTCAACTTTGCATTTAGGGTGGGGATTCAAGACGTAATACATTTCTCGTGGCGTTTTTAGCTTTTCCCTAATGTTCATCGCGATCTCCACATTTCCTTAATTATAAGCTTCTGTTTGATTGATAAGCTACTGTCATATCTCCCGCAGCAACCTAATCGTAAGCTTAATATTCCAATTTCATACCCTGAATATCTTATTTCTTGATTATTATGCGTTTTGTTCAAGTTGAACATGATTGTAATCATGTGTATTTTTGAGTTCGATCAAATCATCAGACATAAAGCGGTAAGTACAAGTGTCTTATTGGGTCATATCAAGAAAGTCTTGCCTAGCTAACTAGGATCTGCTCTAAAAGATATTTTTCCGAGTCACTGCGATAATCTGATTCCAAGGTCAGTCAAATTGGAACACATGCGTAACAGTCACAAGGTTAAATCAAGTAGCATAGCGCATCAATGATAATCAAAACCTGCGAGTCAAGCTCTAGTATGTCTAATAATAACAAAACGGATATTGGCTTTTTGTTGTGCATAAATAACAGGTAATATGAGGTAATAGAAAAATAGTGTACTGATCAGATAGTAGTGAATAAAAAAGTGAATTTTCTATAAAAAACAAAGTGATTATAGTTTGATTATGATATGATCATGTATATCATTTTTATTCAAAAACGTTAACAAAATGACCTGAGTCACGTTAAATTCAATGAACACATATGACAATATAAATAATCAATTATGAATGGGATTTGGTTTGTTTTCATACTGATCTTATAATAATTATAACGAATAAAACTAATATAAAACCATGCGCAAAACGTCTAAGAAAACTGTGGAAATATGATTTGTTTAGTTGTAATGAACAGCTGGCAATAATGTTAAAGCATTTAAATGAAGTAAGTTATCAATCTTAACTCGAACCCTCGTTAAAAGATATGATGTAGCTCACAAGTTTAATGTCCTCAACTTTATATCGCAATGTTTGGATGAAGATTATACTACCGAGACTCCTAAACCAACACAAGTGTCTCGTGGTTTCAATTCACGCCATAATAATTGAAAATTAAATGTTCTAATCACTAATCTACGCTTTCGCGAAATGGAATTAATGAGGTCAAGTGGTTAGATGTACCAATACAACTTAACCTGACACATCATATATACGATGATACTGGTTATTCTCGAGCAAATGATGTGTTATTTCATCAATTATTAGTAAGAAAGAATTAAGCTAACGAACCACTTTGTAACTTTTTAACTGAACCATATTCAGAAAAATAGGTATCATACAGAAGTTATAGGGGATCAGTAACTTTTGGATGTCAACTGACGACTTATTTGATGAAATATCTTAAGTCACCAGAATTCATGTTAGGTTTACGACTTAATTATCGCAAGACGTTCACTTAATTCACTAGTCTACTGTTACTGATACTTATAGGATTAGCATATTAATAGTGATTTAGGACAATCATCGTTTAGTATCTGCCAAATTTCATCAGGATGACGTTAGAGAGAATTATTTATACTTTCGTTATTTAATCTCATATAAAATTTAAAAGTATCAACTGTTACAGTTTCATTCATGTTAACTTACAGAAACCAATAGTTATGAAAACTGATCGTACAGATTACATATAGAGTACTAAGAAAAAAGCTTAATTAATAGTCTATGATAAAATCAATCCAGTCTCTAGGATCAGAATTTTCGGTATGCGACTCGAATAGTCGTAATTCGACGATTGACTATAGAAATTTTGCAGCGTTTACTTGTCGCAGATTATTGTTAATTACTACTACTATATAAGCGTGATGTAAATAACAAACTAAAATATCCCCATAAGCCTATTAAACCAACATTAAGACTATTTGTTTAATTGCTTTGATGACAGTTTTCGCAATGATTTCTAATAGTCGAACAAACTAGGTATTCCAACGATAACAGTTATTATTATTAATGGCTTTATTCAATATTACATCTTTGGTACAACATAGAATTCTCAGCGCAGAGTATTTCAACAAGTTTTCTCTTTCGATTTCTTGGATGATCCTGACGATAAGTATTAAGTGATCACCAGTTAGATGTTAGCAGTTCAGGAATCCACATCTAAGTAATGTTCGTCTTTCGCAATACATATGTCCAGCCACCAGGATATCTCTTATTGTATTTTTTTGTAACTTGTACAGCGAAAGGTAGTAAACTTTCCATAGGTTATTCGATTAGCAAACATAATGATGTGTTAAAACAAACAAAAACATAACTTGTTAAAATATTTAGATGGAGAGAACAGGCAGTCCAGACATTCGAGTAGGCCGTCAGTTAAGTAAACGTAATGTAATGGATAGGTGTTCATGTTTACTTATAAATCGACTGGCATAGTACGTAAATTCATCCACATTTTGCGAAACATCCTGTATTTAAGCATATTGGTAAACCTCTGATTGTAAACAAAACCAAATTTGAGCTAAACCTTTTAAGTAATTTCTCTGATGGTGTAAAACTAATTAAACTGTCAATGAGTTATGAAGTTAGTTATACTTTACCATTAGATTTTGGCTAGTACTAAGGTTCAAAACAGCGATTTTATTCTATCTGTGCTTCAGCAGTTTGATGTATCTGAATCGCATTATTAACGTTTATACATAGAATACAAACCCAGTGCCTATTGCTTCAAACATCAACGTGTTATGGACAAGTTTTTTTTCAGTTTAAACTCAGTAGATATTTAAGGTCGTTCAAATCTACATTTGAATAATAATGGTTCTCATTTCAATGAATATATAAGAAACAGTTTGATGAGGAGTATAAAAATGAACTGCATAGTTTGGTCGTGGAGCTTTGATCATTCTTCAGAACGATATCATCAGCACAAACTTCAGATGGAAGTGAAGCGTCGGAATTTCTCCATATGTGGTTCACAGCTTGTCCTGGTTCGTGTTGACCTTAAACTTGTCATTGTCATTGTCAAAGTAAACAATGACAAGTTTAAGGTCAACAAGAACCAATCAACATCGAGATGTACAGGACAAGCTGTGAACCACATATGGAAAAATTCGAACACATCACTTCTACCTGAAGTTTGTGCTGATGATGTCGTTCAGAAGAACGACCAAAGCTCTAAGACAAAACCATCCAGCTCAGAAAACAATATTCCATCAAAATCATCCATCTGAGCTACAAATCTTCTCCACCATCTCAGTTTCTCAGATTTTACTAAAAGATTCTGTAATTTTATGTTCAAAACATATTCAATTGTTCTCATTTGTGTTCTTGTTCACTATAATACTATTACTACCATGTTTAATTATCGTAAAGGCATAAAACTTTATTCATCATAAACATTTATACTATAAAAATTTGATAGTAACATATATTATTATCATCATCAAATATAACATATTTAACAAATGCATATAGATTCCTATAAACAAAACAAAACAATTCATGATTTCATATTCAGTGTATACACATGTATATATACACAAATGGATGGATGGTTGGATGGATGATATAAAATATTTATTTACATTAAACAATTTCATATCGTTATTTAGTCTACAGACATTTTGTTATAAACAAACCCAGAGCAAATTAATTACAATAGTGTACTAATCTTATTTTTTTAACTTTTCAATAATGTTTCTTATATATGATATGTGTTAACGTGTGTACATTCAATTTAAAATACCCTGGTAAATTTATTTTGAAACATTTATGAGATTCAATACTATTATGTGCGTGCTACTCATATTGATATAAGTAGTATATGATGCGAGTCAGGAATGTAATGTCCGGATGCAGAAGATGGGGAAGATCAAGAAAGGAAGAGCGGGAATAGAAAGCAATTAGAATGGAAATGGAAGAACAATGAAGTTCGAGACAATTATTGGACATTTTGCAAATTAAGTATTATAGTATGATTTTTCTATTTTACCAAGTAACTCGGTAATATCGTGGTATGCATAGTTCGGTTGTCTACACCTGTGTTCTCCTTCACTGCATTATGACGCTACATATCGTTTCATATGTTTCATATGATTAAATTATTAGCATCATACCTTATATATTTGTTACTGAGACAGGATATATTTTTATTTTAACGTGTATATGAATACGAATAAATAAATTACAGGTGAATAATTGTAATTGCCTTAAATATCATGTTCAAAATATTAGTTTTATTAGAAGGGGTTTTGTGGATATTATAGTAATTTTAACAGTTGAGATCATGAGTCAATTGAAGCTAAACCATTATGGAAAACCTGGAAGAACAGTGGACGGCCGTTTCGTTCTACTGTGGGAGTCCTCAAGAGTGTGTATCCACAATCTCACCTCGAGAGATTTGAACCTAGGACTTATCAGTCTAGTTTCAATTGATTCATGATTTCAACTATTAGTATTAGTTTTACTTAAGGTTCAATGTAAAATGAACATTCATATCAGTAATTTTTAGAAGTGTTTTAAATCTTCAGACAAATCAACTGGATTATTACTGTTTTGAATTTTTCACAGATTGTTAAATTTATGACAAAGTAAATAGTTAATTATAATCTAGCATCGAGTCACACATTCAATTTTTAGTCATTTGTTAAGAAAATTTTCTTCGTGCATATCCATCATCTAACTATTTCTAAAATTTTCTAGATGGCATTACTAGTAGACTGCATTTAAAGCTATCTCTTTAGTTGTCATAATTTTTGTGTATTATTTGAGTGAGTAAATCATAGTTGTTAGATCACACCGTATAGTTGACATCA